TATTAGCAAAAAGTATGCACTATATGTTTCAATTTTTAATAAAATCTATATAAAAAAAAATAATTTATTTATAAAAAACCATAGAAGAAAGATTAAAAACTATATTATGTCCTACTCCTATTTTCTTAAGGCTTTAAAGCAAACTGTTCTCTCTGTTCTTTATTAAATTCTTTATAAAATTGTTCAAAAATATTTGTTTTTTAGTTTTCCTTAGTATTTTCAATATTTTCCAATATTTAAATGTACAAAAATAAACTAGAATAAATAACTGAAACTAATTTACAAGCTATGCTTTCATCTTAGTTACAAACTGCTCAAAACCTGCCCTTCCTGTCAAGTTATTTCTTGAATAACAAGTTATTTATACATTTTCAAATATATATAATATAATTTAATGAAATTCTAAACTATTTCTTGGCTTTATTTAGCTATTTTCTTGAATGACCAACACTGGCACACACAAATGATCGCCGGCGATGCAGACGGCATTGCGTCAAGTGGCAGCATCGGCCCGTCGACCTGTCTGCCGCAAGTCTGCCTGGGCTTTGGGCCCTGGGCTGGGTTCCCATGGCCCGGTAACTGCCAATCGGACTGCAGCTACTCCAACTCCACAAGCTGCTCCAATGACGTGGCCACATTCCCTCCAAACCGATCCGATCCGATCCGATCGAGATCGAGATCGAGATCGCCTGCTATTTCCATCGAGACATTGTTCACTTGGACGCGTCGACACTCGAGTAAATTAGTTTCGTAGAACTTCCCAAAGACGGCCCACACCGGGCCAAGCACTGAGAGAAAATTGGGGGGTCTAACTGGGATAATAAGCAATATGATACAAATTGAAAACCTATAGAAAAATAATACCTTTTTGCATTTATTAAGGTTGTAAGAAAAGCAAGTGTAAAAACGCATCAGCTGCTGTCTAATTTATTTATTATATTCTTAAAAGTTTAATTCATTTTTAATTAATATTTTCAATAATATATATAACATTTAAATATATTATTAAAATAAATTAAATTATATCTCCCTAGCCTTGTTTATTTGCCTTAAAAATAAAAAGCAATTGTATTTACACAAAGGAGATTTAGTTAGGATTTAGTCCTGAATTTCTTTAACCTTTCATTTCCTAGCTTCTTTATCGGAATTCCAAAAATTCTATATGTATGTTACCTACAAAAAAAGGATATATATATACATATACATAAACGACTCAAGGACCTCTTCGACGTCAACTCGAAAAAGTCGAATGAATAATTTTCGTCCTGAAATTTTGTGAGGGGTTGCAAATTTATTCACACACAGAGAAAGGTGTAATTACCCGGGCACAAAACACACTCTCTCATACATACACACACACACACACTCACTAATACCCAGGCAAATTCACTCATTCACACACACACTCACACACACACACACACACAAGCGAGTGTGCGAAAATTGGCAGCACAAAAAGTTCACCTCAAGTTCTCTCGTGTCTCGAAAAGTTGGGCAACGGCAAAAGGGGTTGGGGGGCGGAGGCACTGGAGAGTGGGGGCGTGGCAGTGACTGCCACTGGCATGGAAAATTAACAATTTTTCAATTAAAATCAATACGGAGTGTGTACTTGTGTGTGTGTGTGTTCGTAGTCGTAGTTGCCTTTGCCGCACACCAAAAAAAAGCAAGTTTTTAAGGGGGTTTTTCGAGGGGGCTTTTTTGGGAGGGATTTTTGCGGGGTTTTTGGGGGGAACTTTGAAGGGGATTTCCAGGGGGGGGGGGAGAGTACTGGAAAAGCGGGTGTGGTTGCGTCTGTCAGGGTAATCTGCATATGTGTTTGTGTGTGTGCGAGTGTGTTTCTCTCGCAAGAAAATAGCTTAAGTGCCTGAAAATATGCAACGCATTCGACGAACGAACTTTGATAGTGTGTGTGCGTGTGTGTGTGTTTGTTTATTTGTTTATGTGTGCGTGCCTGTGTGTATGTGTGTTGTTCTTGTTCTTGTTGTTGTCAGCCCAAAAAAAAAAAACACACACACAGAAAAATTCAAAATTTCTAAAGCTGGCAAATAGTGCCGTTATTTTGAGTGACACAAGGACACTGAGCAAATTAATAGGGTTAAATGAGTTTAAGGATTTCTAAGGATCATTGTTAAGGGGTTTTGTTGTTTAGGAAATTTAAATATTAAGAAAATAATCAGATATTAATTCTTTGATAAAATATTAATTCTTTCGCTTAAGAAGTCTTTAAAAAGGAATATTGAATATTACTACATTTCCTAATAACAGAAAATAAATAAATATTACTACCAAAAATCTATATTTAAATCATTTAAATACTAATATTAGTAATAGTATTAAGTATTATTATTATTTTTAGTATTATTATTTATAGTATTTAGTATTATTATTTGTATAGTTTACTAATAAATACCTCATTTTATCCCCTTAAGTATTCAATTGTTCAAGCCAAATATGTCCTTTTTTTCTTATAAAAAATATAAATAGTTACTAAACTTCCTATTTAAGATATTCTTGTATTTTTAAATATTTTTTTCTATATTTTAAATATCTATTTTGCTTGACAGTGCATTGATTGCGTCGAGTATTGGTTGGGTCGTGGCTTCTCTTGTACTTGTGCATCGTTTTTGCGGTTGTTCTCGGTCCTTCCGAGTATTTTGTGGCCGTCTAACTGTTGAGTCCTTGCCGCACACTAACACACACACACGCACACACCCGAAAAGGGGGGGGGGGGGGTGGTGGGGTGGTGACAAGGATAGACTCCATTTGTGGGCACCGCAAACAACGTTAAATGCAAATTTACGCTACTGCCAGGACTCTCGCACTCTCTCACTTTCCCCCAAAAGGGATTTTCCCAACCCCAACCCCAACCCCACCCCAACCCCTTTTCGGATTTCCCCAAACTGAGCACACAAATGGCCGTACTTTGGCGCCATTGCTTCACTTCAGTTGTCCTTCGCCGGTTCGCTCCTTGTTGTCCTTGTTGCTGTTGCTGCTGCTGTTGTCCTTGTTGACTATTGCCGTTATTGCCCGAGTTGGACAGAGATGGCAAACGCAATAGTGGCCAGAATTGAAGTGTTAGTAGTAATGCTACTAATTGGACTCGCTTTTAGCAACGCAACGCCACGCAGGACCTCCATGTGCCCCAAGCACACCCACAAAGCTCCTCCGACACTGCTCCCTCTCTCTCTCTCTCTCTACATATATACATACAAATATATATATATATATATCTATATATGTATATGTGCATGTCCTGTAATTGGAAAATTTTACACACTCGAAACTCAATTTGAACTGCAGAATACAGAATGCAGAATGCAGAATGCCGGAATGGTAGTTGAAACGTAAGTGGATATATGCATGGCATTGGCAGTGGTGGGTTAAGGCCCAGCTCAGTGGGTTAATTGCACAACTGTCAATATATATATATCAATAAATATATATATAGACATATATAGGGTTTAATTAGCACAGATTATGGGTAAAAATGTTAGAATTTAAGGCTTTAATTAAAGTTTAAATTAGTTGGTATTTTAAAATAAAATATAAATAATACAAAAATTAAGCTCATATCACAAAATTAAAATTAAAAAAAGAAATTAATACCTTTTATCATTTAAAAATATTAACACAGCATGAAAAAGTGATTAAGCTTTGAATTTATTGCTGATGTCTTCAAAACCTTGTCTAATATCATTCATAATATCTTATTTAAATGAAAATATGTGTAAAAATCATGGATAAATGTGGTAAAACCTCTCTAGGAAGTCCTTTTTCCTGCTGCTTACAAACATAAATGTACGATTAAGTGCCTGAATCCTTGAAGAGAGCCTGCCATTAGCATGCAGGGAAATCCCCGCTAAAACCGATTTCGACGACCCAAAGTCACAGCAAGTGAGTACAAAAAAAAAAAAAAAAAAGAAATCCTAAAAAAAGGGCAAATTCGCGAAGAAATCTCGCCATAATTATGCAGTTTTCCCCCCCTTTTTTTGGTGCTAATCAAACACAGACACACACAGGAGCTTTGCCTTTTAAGGGTGGCAATTTGGTTGAAGTTCACTCGACACACACACACACACACACACACACACACACAGACACAGGGATTGTGCATCTCGCTCTCCCTTCCACGGAGGACGAACTTAGAACAATAACGGCCATTAAAATGCTTAATTATAAATTCGCAAACGTTGCTGAAAATTTTCTACGTTTTTTTCCTCGTAACCCCCTCTTGCTTTCTCTCTCTCTCTCTACCTCTCTCTTGCTTTCTCACTCTCTCTTTTTCTTTCTGTCTCGCTCAGCAGGAACGTTAAATGATTTTCGCATTTTGCATTGTTCGCAGTCCTTGGACACTTTAATTCATACTTTATTTCTTATTTTAATTAGGGTTTTAATTATTTATTAATGGGATAATAATATTAAGAACTTGAGACAGGAAAAATCTATGTAGAAATCGTAATAAAGAAGGAGATACACAATTTGTTGTCTTGTACTCTCCATAGATAGATTTCCTGGCTAATTTAAACTCCTTTTACTTGTGCTTTTCTTTACAATTCCTCCTTTTTAATATAGCTAATTAAACATTCTTTTTTTTGGCAGTGTATCAAGGCAACTACTTGTAAGTAGAAGCTGCACTTGAGAGAGATTCCCCTCTACCGATTGCCTTATTATTAAAAAATGCTTTGGCTCTGATGCTCCGATGACGCTGCCCCAAAAGGAGGTGTGAAAAATCAGTGCAGAGACATCCAAACAATACAAAAAGGGATAGCCCCTTCGCTTGTTCTCAAAAGGAAATGCAAATTCCCTGGCCGAGTTTTTGTGTTTTGCCAACAGCAAACACCTCCACCGTCGGCGGATGTAATTAGTTTGTTAATTCGTTAAGGAAGCAAGGCAAGTACCGCCGCCGCAGACAAAGATATCCTTTGCCAGGACAATGGTCCCCATATTGAATTACCTGCCGCGGCAGGGGGAAATGTGGCACAACGGCGACGATGACTCACCTGTATGCGATCCTCGGGCAGCTCCGTCTTCAGCGAGAGCATCTCGCGGGCATAGACATCGGGATAGTGGGCCTCCTTGAAGGCCTCCTCCAGCTTCTCCAGCTGATAGCTGGTGAAGATCGTGCGGCTATGCCGTCGCTTCTTCTTTTTCTTTTTGCTATTTGGTCCCACGCCGAAGCCATTGAGTCCCTCCATGCCAAAGTCCTTGGGCGCCAGAGAGCCTGTAAAGCATAACCACTTATTAATTATCATTTCCCCACTTAATTGTATCACTTTATGCCTTGAAGAAACTCTTCGGAAACTATAAATACTATATGTATTCTTGTCAAATTAGTTGACGAGTATCCCACGACCGCTGCCGGAAAACCCTGGCTGGCAAAGTTTCCCCCTCTTGGAGTGGAAAACACACATGTCGCTGGAGCGCGACTTGAAGTGGTTTTAGCGGCTTGTTATTTTAAATATTTAATAATTGTATCTAGTTTCCCACTTGTCTTTTCTCTTTTATTTTTCCTTTATTTTTTGGGGGGAGGTTGTCACACCGCACATCATCTTTTGTTCCAAGGAAAACCCCACTTGAGAAGGCTGTGAAAAGGCGGGGAAAAGTGAAAGCATCGAAGGAGTATGGTTTTGGGAAGGGAAATGGAGAGGCAGGGGAAAAGGGAGAGGGAGAGGGAGCTGGGGAATGAGGATGAGCAGGGATCACTGGAGAGGACTGAAGAAGCGAGGATCGAGGATCGAAGGAAGGAGATGACAGGCGGCGGTAGCAGCGTTGACAGGCGCGTTTTGAGTTTGAGTTTTTCAACGAGTGTCAGTGGAGTTAATGCACAGCGAAAAAATGTGTAGAAATATGGAAAATTATATGAAATTAACTAAAATTTAAGTCAAATATAATTAAAACAGTCATTCCTTAAGATATATTGCGTCAGTAACCTCAGTAACTCTATGAATTATCAAGAAACCTATTAAATAATTTAAGTTTTTACTAACTATAGACTTTATTTATATAATTCTTTTCTCTCAGTGCAGTCTATACACACAGCATGCACATCATCGATGATGATGAGGAAGATGAGGCCTCTGATGAGTCTGGAGATGAGTCCATGGAGGAATTGGAGTTGGAGTTGGAATCGAAGCCGGCGGAGTAAACGTTGGATCGAAGCCACTTGTATGGCCAAATCGCCACTTAGCGGATTTGAAGGACCTAAGGACTTGCAGACTTTCTGCCAAGCAGCAGTGTTTTGGCCAAATCGAACTTTTGTGGCCTGAAGCACCCGGAAAACAGAAAACAGAAAACAGAAAACAGAAAACACAAATCGGCGATGATGATGATCGAGTGGTCTGGACCACTCGTTGGGAAAGTGGGGAAAACAATACCGAAAATAAACATACACATATTCCAAAAAGGAAAACAATTTGCACAGAAATTCGATATGAAAAATGAAGGAGAAGCCTCACTTTTTCCGGCTAAAAATGTGCGTGAAATATGGGCTGTGGAAATGCGTGTAATGAAGGCCGAAAACTGCATCTTGAATTACCTACCACCGCCAGTCAGTCATGTGAATGCATTCGAAGGCAATTCGTCAGCGAATTCAGGAAAATATTTAAGGAAAATTGAGTTCCTTTCAATTAACGTTTGTGGTGTGCATTTCACCAAACTCGAATTGGATTATTATTCCCCATAACCTAATAATGATTTACTGTCCAATTAAGGTTACTTTTGGTCAACAAAGTGAGGAATATCAAATCTCAAAAGTGATTTTATTTTCATATTCCAACTTGTTAGCTCCCAAAAATCTAATTAACAATTATGTTAATATAAAACAAAGAGCGGAATTAGTTAATTCCAGGACGCACAAAGGTGGCTAGGGATCTCTAGTTCGCTTTTAATGAGCTCACACCAACACACACACACACACAGCCATGGCAGCATGCCAACATGCATACTAACACACACGCACATGCATCACAACATATTAGCAATTAAAATTTTCTTAGTTAATTACTTTAAGCAGACGACGACGACGACGACGACGAAGGATGAAGGACGAAAGGATGACGATGCCGTCAGCTGCGAAAAATGCCAGAGCAAAAAAAAAAATGTCGCCAACAAAATGAAAGGCGACAACACATTCCTCCGTCTCTCCTTAGCTTTCTCTTTCCCCTCGCGCTATCTATCCCTTTCCCTCATTCGTGGCGCTCTTCGCACAAAGAAAGTCGCTTCCCGGCAAGTGAGTTTTATGAAATTTATGCGCATTTCACTAGAAAATTTAATTAGGAAATCTAATTTGCTCAAAAGCGCATAAAAAATGTTGTCGCTTCTTGGGGAGCGAGAGAGCACGAAGCCTTCCCCCTTCCCCCTCTCTCTCTCTCTCTCTCTCTCTCTCTCTCTCTTTCTCCTCTTAATTTTCCACCATCCCATTTTTCCCGTATCCGTTCCATTCTCTGGCGTTCCACTGCCACTTGTTCAGTCTCGGAAGCTACGCCATTTTTGTTAGCCTGGCCACACTTACACCAGGGGAAAAACTATTTAAATGATCCTTAAATGTATAATAATATTAATAATAATCATATTTAAAGAGTTTTATATTATTATACTATATTATTATAAGTCTATTATATTATACTATATTATTATTATATTATTTTCCTATTTAATTCGTTTCATTTCCCATTCGATCCATCGATTTCTTATTCATATTGTCTTTTTAGTAATTTATTTGTTTCTTAATTACCTTTTTACTTTATATAATATTAATACAATATATTATAAAATATATATTTTCAAAATCTTGATATTGTCTTAAAAATCTGAGACCCTTTTCCTCTCTGTGTAACTTTTGCTGGTGCCCTGCTTTTCACTACGATTTCCTCCCGAAAATTCCCCCCCCCCCCCTTTTTTGCTCCCATCTACATTATTTTCCGGACATTCCCGGCATCCGCTTGGCCCCGCTTTTCTCCGCTTTTCCCTGCTTTTCACGCCATGCATCAAGTAACCAACAAAATGACTAATTCCTCGCCTCAGTGTGGGTGTGGGTTAGTGTGTGCGTGTGTGGCATGTGTGTGTGTGTGTCGCATAAACAGTTGCATGGCAAAATACGCTAATAAAGTGGCTGAGTTCCCAGAGCCAAGCAGCGGCGCAACGTCGACGCTGACTGTGACAGAGGCAGAGCTGCAGAGGCAGAGGCAGAGCCGTCGCCACTGAAGGGGATTCACAGTTCCGCAAATTTGCAATTTGCATTTTTGCATTAGCACCAAAGTGGCTGCGTTTTTGTGCGAGTGTGTGTGTGTGCGAGTGTGTGTGTGTGTGTTACCCACCGCCCCCTTCTCTACCATTCGGGTTTTCTGCTCATTTTTCGCTCGCCTTTTTCGTACTAATTAGAAACGAAATTGAATTATTTGCTTGAGGAATCAAACAGAAACCACAAACGCAAGAAATCGGCCAGGGGGGGTGCAGAGAGTCTATAGCTATAGCTATATAATATATATATTGCAAAGGGGTCCAGTAAATGCTCCAATTAGCAGCTTCGCCAGTCAGCTTACTTTCACATCGGTTAAAGCCAACAAGGTTAACTTAAAGAGTTGTCTGGATTGGATTAAAGAGGTTTATGGAGATTTTTGGGGAGACTTAATGGAAAAATTGAAAAATATTTAATATTAGGATACAAAATATATTGAAAATCATTAGTTTACACATTCTTCAAGAATTTCTTGAGGTTTTTAAAGTCAACAATGAACAGTTTCTAATATAATACAAGGTTTCAGTTTCATCGTCAGCATATCTAGTGGTTATCTTCATAATACTCTTAATACTTTATATAAAAAATATAGTTCCTTTGATACTTTCAATATTTTAGTACCCATTAAATCCCAAAACTGGTTCTCCATGCATATTTTTTGGGGGAAAAGGAGCAGATTGTCTGGAAATTATGCAGGAAAATTCGCTTTGACATTGTCCAGCATTCGTCGCCGTCTAATTGCTGCTGTCTATCTCTTTCTCCAACGCTTTATGACTCTCTCTCTCGCTCACTCTCCCACTCTCTCTCTCTCTCTCTTTCTCTCTGTATCTCCATCTCTGTCGCGTGAGGATAACCCTTTGGAACGGATGGATCCTTGGCGCGCTCCTTCGTTGCTGTTCCTCGTAATTTGCGCACTCAATGGAAAATTGTTAATTAGATTCCTAGCTTGTCGTGCGACTGACTGCCTTTGCCTTAGCAGCAAAGCTCCATTGTTGCGCCACCTGAACAGGTAAGGGGTGGGTGGGTGGAAGGGAGGGAGGGGAGGGAGGGAGGTAGACCAACACCTGAAGTGGCCACCCACCCCACCTGGGGGACGACAGCGTTTTAGCCAGCTTTGTGTCAAAATTGGTTAGCGTGATTGCTCTTGTCCCAAATGCCTTATTTTCGCAGTGCTGCAAATGTTATAAATAGTTGTTGAAACCTGGTAACACTTCTTAAAATGAAGTAAGAAAATGCGGTTACCTTTAAATTAAATTAATTCCTGGATTATAGATATCTTATTATGTTTATGGATGCTACAAAGAAGGAAAGAGAGTCTAATCTTCATTTGATCAAATTTTACTTTTCTTTGCTTATAATTCCCAAGTGTAAAGTATGCAGTATTTAGAGTTTCTTATATTAAACTCTGATATATACTATAACAGAAGAGACTTTAAAAAATCATATATAAATATATTTCTTCGTATTTAAAACAACCTTAAACTTTTGTTTTAAACCTTAAATAGCGTCTGTTTTGGCTGAAAAATAGCCAAATTAATAACACTGAGTCCCCTTAACCCCCTGCCAGTGATTTTAACCCGCTAACTGTCTCTTCCCCGTTCGCTTTTTGGCCCCACTTTAGGCCACCTTTCCGCTTCACCGGCGCAAGGTGAACTCAGCGAACTTTACTTTAAGTGCAAAGCAGCATTAACAACAACAACAGTTAAAACAACTATAATGAACAGCAACAAAAACAACAACAAAAAAACCTAAGAGTAGCACAATTTTTGCTCTTTCACTTTTTATTGCCAGCCTGTACAAAAAAGGTGCATATTTTTGGATCTAATTTGAGAAAAATTAAAGTAAAATATTGAAATAATAAAACTTAAAACAGAAGATATAGAAATAGAGGTGGAAAAGGTATACTTAAAGCAGAGGAAATAAGAGAGGTAAAGATAAAGACTAATATATTATTTTAATTATATTATCATTTAAAAAAATTTTAAGATAAGTCAAAAAACCCAACCTGATATCTCAATTGTTAGTGTGACCAACTGATGTTTTCTCTGAACAGGTGGGGATGCTTTAACCCTTTGTTGTCACCCCCATGCCTTTCCTGTTTGTTAACCCATCTTTTGGCAACATGTTTACGCATTCAGGAAACTGGTGCGACATGAAATGCGATTGGTTTCGCTTCACACACGCTTCAATGTGTTTCTCTCAAACAATTCTTTTTATACATCGTTTTTTTATATATACAGATATATTATTTTGATTGTGTTGCGTGTTTCAATTAAGGGTTTGGGCCTGGGCAAGGGGAAGGGGCTGCCATTCGACATGGCCAGCAAATAAAACTTAGACACGCTCGGAAGAAAGGACTCGCGAGGGATGGGGGGGCATTCGACAAACGGGGGAAAAAATGCCAATTAAAATCTTGGCCATGACAAGTGCAACACGATGCAGCAGCCTCCCACTTTGCCACCCCCTTTTCAAGGCAAATTGCCCTACTTGTCAGTCTTAGTCTCTCAGTCCCTCCCACTCCCACTCCCACTCCCACTCGCCTTTTCCTTGGCTTTTGTGTAATCTTGTCTTGCAATCTGCTCGCAGCAAATGGCTCAAAAGTGGCTCTCCTCCTGCTCCTGCTCCTGCTCCTGCTCCTTCATTTTTCTCGGCTTTTCCGAGACTTTTCCCAGCGCGCTCTCTGCAAGAATGCAGGCGTCGAGTGGAGGACTCAAGCAGGGCACTTCGCCCCATAAAAACAGAATGGAAAGAATGCGCGGCCAAGTGGCCAAGTGGCCAAGTTCGTGTTGCCAGGCCCAGTCGGAGATTAGAGTCTTAGTGGAGCAGCCACTCACTGCACCAGGAGGAGCAACATCATCAGCAATAAAAACAACAACAACAAAAACAACAACAACACTAACAACAACAGTGACAAAAGGGCAATTAAGTAGGCCCAAGATCTTGACAAAAAAAAAATAATGAAAGAGTTAAGAGCTCTTCCAACAGGCTTCAAGGATGCAACAGCCTTAAGCGAGAGTTTTGAAGTAAATATCATAATATTTTCATAAGGAAATAATATTTTAATAGTTATTTAATTATATAAAATACCTATTAAGTAAAGTATATTATTATATTAAGTATTAAAAGGTTTTTTCATACTTTGGTAAATAGAATTATAATAACTCTTATGGAAGAGAAAGGTAAACAAGGTAACCTTGTCTGGTTCTAAATGAAATGAATCAATAAATTAATAAGTAGAGAAAAAAAGTATAATTATTATAATTAATGAAAAGTATAAGAAGTAAATAAATAACTTCTTTATAACAATTAGATATTTTAAAATACAAATTTACAGGTTCTCAACAACATTTTTTACTGACAAAATAGGTTTGTTGTAAAGAAAAGATTGTCTGTACCTATAAGTGATAATATTAATCCAATAAAACCAATATAAAAATACTTAATAAATAATAGAGAGAAAATTTAAATAAATACCTCATAACTTATATTTATAATAGCCAAAAGTAATGCATACAAAATATACCTAGTGTATAATATCTTCGTGTATTTTTAATCACAAAATCAGACACTTAAATTTAATATTTAATTTGCTAAATAAATACCTCATAACCTATAGTTATAATAACAAAAAGAAATACATAAAAAATATACCTAGTGTATAATATCTTTTTGCATTTTCAGGCACAAAGGCAGACTCTTAAATTGTATATTTAATTTGTTAAACAAATCTCAACTCAAGTGAGAAATAAACTCATTTCAATTACAATTGAATTAAAAGTCGCTTCAGCCAAACTAAAAATGTAAAACTAAAGGTTTAAATTGACTTCTATTGTCTAGAAATATAATATCAATAAGCTAATGAGATCAAGTAAATTTAATTATAGAAAAAAACAACAAAAGTATTCAAGGAATTCGTCCTTTTCTTCGATTTCCTTCACTTTTTTCCCATCCTCAGGTATTCCATCAATTCTGGCTGATGTCCTGACATATGTCGAGGCCTTTGTAGCTCGTTCCACTGGCAGACATTTCAATTTATTGGCGCACTCATTGCGACCCCTTCTGTAAGCCAAGAGAAACCCCCTCCTCGAACAACGCCTCTGTGCCACTCAAACCAGTTTTTCCAGAGCGTTTCTTATTAGACAAGTTTATGTGTGTGTGTGTGTGAGCTTTGCACTTCTTTCGCCTTTTGCCTTTTGTTTCTCCTTGTTCATATGTGTGTGTGTCGAAAAGGGTTAAGCCAGAGAGAGACAGAGAGAGAGGGAGAAGGACACGCAGGACATGTGAGGAGAGATGTATGCGCGTGCAAATTGCGTATAAAAGCGTATGTTGAAAATATTTATTGCCCGTTACGAATGCAACAAAATGAAAATGAAAATTTCATTATTTGACTTTTGTCTCCCCATGTGTGTGTGTGTGTGTGTGTGCTCTCTCTCTCTCTCTCTCTTTTCCGTTAGCTAAATTGTTTATTTTATTAGCAATTTGGAGAATTTATGTGCGCGACATGTGAAATTTACGCTGACGGGAACCCTTTTTGGCTCCCTTTGCCGGGCCACGCCCCCTAAAAAGGACGCCAGGACGCTCGAAATGAAGCGCAGGAATTCCCATTAATTAGGCCGCAGCGACCTCTGACGGTCAAAGGATATTCGCCAGGATCGGCAAAAAGGATTCGCATATATGTACATATATGCATGGCCTACCTTTGGGCTTTCGGAATTAATTGGTTCAAGCTTCAAGTGAACTTACCGGGCAAACAAGTTCCGGCTCCGGCGGCAAAGTTTTTCAACTGCGGAAATCCTGAAAATAAAAATAAATATAAGAAAAGTTGTAATATATATAAAGGTAAAATAGCAAATCATTTAGAACATCATATAAGTATTCCTTAATCTTAATGTTACATACACCTTCAGGGCATTATAATTACAGTCACAAGCTTGTAAAACAGTGAAGGAGTCATTTGCGACCCTATAAGCCATATATATTCTTGATCAGCATAAATAGGGGAATTTTTCTAGGCATAAAGGAGAGAAAGAAATTTTTGAAATTGTTTTTCAATATTTTTTGAGCCTTTTATTTCATTATTAACATTTTAAAAAATGGACAAAAATTGAAATAGTTCAAAAGTGAAATTCGAGTATGCAGATTTATTAACCTTTTAAAAACTAGAACATAACAGCTTTCTGAATCGAAATTAATGCATTTTTGGCTTAGTTGTAATATTTAAAAGACTTTGATTTGGCCTAAATCATATTTGTATATAATCAATAGATATATATTAAATATATATTCTGAATAATTATATATTTCATCTGCTGAGAGTCCACTGTGCCCCATGGAACTTACTTGGCATTTATTAGCCAGACAAGGGCCTCCGAATTAACCCCACAGCGCAATAAATCGAGAAGGAGAAGAAGGACGATGCTTGCACATGGCCTGACACTTGTACACAGAGAGAAAAAACATAGCCAGTCTGAGCACCATTAAAAGTTAATCCGAAGTACAAAAATCAGTACATTTTATTACAATTATATATATTTACTTATGTTCTATTTCCCTAATTTATTTCATAATTAAAAAAAAGGAAATATTTCTATAATTTTGTACATAAAGAATTATGCAAATCTCCTTTTTCAGTGTATCGCTGACACTCAGAAATGCAAATCGGCGACCTCGATGTCAAAGTCGAGACTCTCCTTCTTCGACGAAGCTCTCCTTGCAGTTTCCCCCCCGAAAGCCCGCCTTAACCCCCTACTCCCCATTAACCCCTTGAGCCAGAAAATAAAAAAACAACAACAACAACAAAGGGGAGTGACATATCAAAGCAAAATCAAATTTGACAGACAACCGCGCTAATTTCTGGTCGATGTTTCATTGTTTCAAGGCGTTCGTCTCGTTTGGGTTTGCTTTCCGCTTTGTTTTTATTATTATTTTCTTTTTTATTATATATACATATATATATATATATATATATATTTTTTTTTTTTTGGTATTTAAGATCGGGTTCGGGTTCGGGAACTGAAACTGCGACTGGCGTTACCCTCAATTGTTTCTCGGTGACGCATTTCGAGAAACGGAGAAACAATGGGAAACCCGACATAAACGAAGGCTAAATAATAATAATAATAGTAATAATAATAATTGTAGTAATAATGAGAACGAAGGTCGGGTTAATCAAGACCAAGTTTGGATACCCTGGCAACTAAGGGTTAAGATTATTTAATTGTAGTACTTTTCACTGAATATGTTAGGATAGTTAAAGAATAAAGGAAGATGTATCATTTGATAATAAAAGTAAAATAAAGTATTAATTAAGTTATATATCAAGTTAAATAAATTATATATAAAATAAGCCATGTATTTGTACATTTGAATTGTATTTAATTTCAACATTAACTATTTCTATATTGTTATATCTATAACTTTAAATAACGCTCCAATTTAAAATATATCATTTATTTATCTTTATCCTTTTTATAGAATAAATTAATGATAGCATAAGATCTTAACTTATCTTTAATTTATTCAATAAAATTTAAAAATTTATATATTACATATATTTAATCTTCTGGAAGAGTATTATAGAAACGACCTCGATACTTCATGATGATGATTTCGTACAATCAAACCGCATTTATTAGCTCTCTACCAGGAATTCCGTTCGCTGGCGAAACTTGATATCCAATATATGGCGCAAAAATTTCTCTAAAGAATATGAACAAATAAATAAAACAACAACAAAATCCAAAGAAGAAAAAAAACCAACAAAACGCAAAACAGAAGGGGGAAAAACTGCAAGTGACGAAGTATTTATAAACTGATTAACGCCCGACAATAGCTGATATGGGTCTCGTTTTTTCCTTTTCATATATTTTTTTGCTTAACCGGAAGGGTTGGGGACCTACGGCGAACTTGTAGCGGGAAAAATCCCGCAAATGTTGGGAAAAGGGAAGGGAAAACTATTACTTGAGGACCCCACAAGGCGATCGTGAGCAACCGCCGGCGGTCATGCCAAGTAGCCGCTCCAGTTCCCTCCAACAATCGAAGTTCATGAGTACATTCATAGATCTCTGGCGTCGTGAGTGAAAATCAAGTGAATTAATTAAAAACAGAGAGACTTTTGAGCAGTGTAATTGTGGAATTTAACAAGGCTTTTTTCCAACAATAAATAAGAAACAGAGAAAGCTTTTTTCAAAGAGCAGAAAGTGAAAAAACGAAGTTAAAGTGACTTAAATAAACGAGAAAATAAATCAATTTATTAATCAAATTAATTCCTTAAACTAAAACAATAACACATTATTTTTTAAGTATGTTATATTTATTTTAAACCTAAAACCCTTGCATTTCCTTGCCTTTCCCAAGTACAAATCAATGCAAAATGCTCTACTCTTTGAGTGTATTCAGTGTGTATTATCCACAGTGAATACACTCATTTCTCGACCAGGTGAATCACAATCGTGGCCAGCAATTGAAACAATTTCCAGCCTAAAAAAAAAGGGGGAAAAAACTGCTGAGTAGCCGCCACTCCAAATAGCCAGATAGATGGCCGTTCATGAATAATTAGCAGTCGTAGTTTTTGTTGATTGTTGCTGTTGCTGCTGCCGGTGAAAGCCACTGAAAATGTCAGTTTCAAAAACCAAAAATATACAAAAATTGTGTATATATATAAAACCAAGCCAAATCCGCTCCGAAATCCCACTTTCGAGCCGCTGAAGAAGCAAAAGCAGCCGCCGAGGTAACTCAAGTGCCAAATCGTGTTTATTTGCGTTATAAAATTAGCGCAGCACAGGGGCGTGCCTTTACAGAAAAAAAGGGGTCTTACTAGCTGTGTATGGGATATAAACCCCTTTTGGTATTCACAGTGACTTTTTTGGGTTGTTTTTTATCATTTTTTTAGAGCACGAATTGCCTGGCTCTGATTGCCCTGTGACGAGGCACAAATATCTGGCTTATGAATACATGAATACAAATGCTTATATACAAAAGTACTAAGTACAGTTTAACTTGGCTATAAGGAATCTATAAAAAGAGTGAAAAACGAATTAGAAAAATGTATATTTTCCAATTATTTTTTACAATAGAATTGTGGAATTTATTTGTTAAGAAAATGGCTTAAGCTTGCCTTGTTTTTGGTGTCCAAAAAACTGATTTTAAATGGCTTATTTTAGGCTAAAAACTAAGCTTTTTATATTTATAAACCTTAGGGTAATAAAATTGAATTTAACAGTATTTCTTCACCATTTTTATTATACAAAATAATACTTAAAATGAACATTTCAAAGAACTAAACACAGTTTAATTTAAATAAGAATATAAGAGGAATCTAAATTAAAGCTTTACTGTTTCAAAATATCTGGCTGATTATTTCCGTCTGGACTTTTATAATTATTTCATTATTTATTTGTGTGAATTATGGTGAATGAATTTCGTTTCGTTTTTTAAAAAATAATCGCGGCTAATTCCGCTTAATGCGAATATCGCTGCTGTGAATCAACGCTGCACACTTGCACTTACACTTACACTAAAAAAAACCCAACTCACACCCCTACACACTCACACACACACACACACACACACCCAGCGACATGGACAAATTAACCCCTTGAGTGGCACTCGGCACTTCGTTCGTCAAGTTGCTTTAATTGACTTTTAAATTCGCAAAAAATCAAAGCGAAAAAGTGTGACAAAGTGCCCAAAAAACGAACCAACGAAAAACACAAAAAATTATGCAAAAAAAAAACAACAACAACATAAAAAAAGGGGGGAAAAGTGCAGCAACAACAAGTGAAACAATAACTGCACTCGTTGAACGCCGACGAGGAACATTTTTCACACCTCAGACAATGCCGCGTGGAAAGCGTGAGGTCAAAGGGGTTAAAAGTGGATGGCACAGAGGCGGCGACGTGGAAAGGGGTGCCACTCAACGATTTCCTAGTACTTCCCACACTTTTTTAGTTGTTGCTGCTTTGTTTTTTTAGTCGTTTTCTAATTTACGTCAACGCAAAATCAAAGCAAAGTCAAAAGACAACCGACCGCACACATTGTGTGTCCGAGGCGAAACTACAATTAAGAATATTTTTATCAGCCAAGGCGAAGCGAAAGACACAAACATGTGTTCTAAGCGAGGGGGCCAGGCTATTAGCAAAGTGGCTCAAATATCAAAGGGCGGAATATACCCCAAGATACTGGAAAGAGGGAGATCTGACAGGCAGCAATTAGCAGTTCCGGCGAGAATCGATTGCAACACAAAGTCAATATTCTCTGTCGATTAATCGAAGGAGCTTAACAAAAACTAAATAATTGGGGAAACAATAATCAAAACTTACTCTAGTTTTGTATATAAAATATTTCAATACATATACATCTATATAAATGCAGAATATATATATAAATAATATATTATACAAATAATATATAAATAATATATAAATAATATCAAATAAAATGTATTTGTACATCTTATGCAGATTATAATCCTGCTTCATTGATAAAGATTCTTTAGTGGAATTAGAAATATTTATTACTTTTGGCATTTTGACCTTCTTATACTTGTAAGAGAACCCGAGATATGAGTAATCTACCTATATTTAATTATTATTAATTATTAAAATACTATATTTTTATATGCTTTTTTTGCTTAAATCAAAGTTTTTCAAATATCATAACTAAGCCAAAAATGCATTAAATTCAATACGGAAAGCTGTTCTGGGCTAGTTTTTAATATATTAATAAATCTGCATACTCAATTTTAAACTTAAATCAATTTAAAATTTTTTAAATTTTCAAAATTTTTACAGATTCAAAAATTGAATCATAAAAATACACAAAAAAAATTTCAACACTTTTTTCTGTCTGAGATGGCTAAATCGACTCGGCTTTCGATGCTGATCAAGAATATATATGATTTATAGGGTCGGAAATGGTTTTTTCACACCGAAACAAGCTTCTGAGTGAAATTATAATACCATTTCTTGAACCGATATTTACCTATATTTATATGAGAATTTCTTCTACAAATCAAAATCTAAAAAACTCATAACTAAGCCAAAAATACATTAAATTCAATACGGAAAGCTGTTCTGGGCTAGTTTTTAATAGGTTAATAAATCTGCATACTCAATTTAACATTTAAACAAACTTTAAAATTTTCCATTTTTCGAAAATTTCACAGATTCAAAAATTGAATCATAAAAATACACAAAAAAAATTTCAACATTTTTTTTCTGTCTGAGATGGCTAGATCGACTCGGCTTTCGATGCTGATCAAGAATATATATAATTTATGGGGTCGGAAATGGCTCTTTCACATTGAAACAAGCTTCTGACTGAATTTATAATACCTTTCTTTGAACCGATATTTTCCTATATTTATATGACAATTTGTTCTACAAATCAAAATCTAAAAAACTCATAACTTAGCCAAAAAAGCATAAAATTCATTTCGGAAAGCTGTTCTGTTCTAGTTTTAAATATATTTATAAATCTGCATACTGAAGTTGAATTTTAAAGCTCTTTAAATTTTTGACGTTTTTTCAAAATGTTAACAATGAAAAAATGGCTTAAAAAATGTTGAAAAAATTTTTCAAAAATTTGTTTTGCTCCTTTATGTCTAGAAAGATTTGCCTGTTTATGCTGATCAAGAATATATATGGTTTATAGGGTCGGAAATGACTCCTTGACTGTTTTACAAGCTTCTTACAAAATTTTCCCTCAAGAATTTTTCTGTTTAATAATTAATAATTTAATTTAAAGAAAAAGCTTTTTTATAAAGTCATTTATATAATTTTTTATTTTGGATTTAATCATAAATAATATTTTAAATATTTCAAACAAGAAAGGAAAGCAGTTATCTTAAAACAAAATATGAAATGCTAAATAAAAATGAGTTAAAAGTCCCCTACTAAAATATCTTTTGCATAACTAATCAATATATTGTTTAATAACACATTATATATTATAAATATATATATATATATTTTAAACAAATATATAGATATTTATATATATTGGCGCCGAGGCAAAGCGTAAATCCTAAATGGTTAATTTCGGGTATTGACTTATTTTGTGAAATGCGAAATATGCAGAGCCTTTGTTCGTCTTTCGACAAGTGCACAAATACCAAGGCAAAACGGGGTGTGTGAGTGTGCGAGTGTGTGTGTGTGTGTGCAAACACATCAAAACGACTGTCACAACAAAGCGACGACGACGCGCAGAGAGCCAAAGTGAAAATTGTCAATTAAATGTTTGGAGGGAAAACGAAGAAAAATCGCTTTTGCGCTTGTTGTACTGTTTTCAGTCGGTTTTTCTCAGCTTTATGTGGGATTTTCTTTTCATTTTTGTTCGTTTTTTTTTTTTTTTCGTATTGTATTATTATTTCGTTTTGCTTCATTGTTGTTGGGTAACCAATTTTCCGATTTGGTTTTCCTTTCCATCGCCATCGTCTGGTAAAAGATCAAAGGCACTTAATGGCGGGCGCCAATTTCTAGCAGCTCCTCTTCTGACACAGACTTTTTTCGGGTGTTAAAATGCTGTTTTAGCCGGACAGGAAATCCGCCCGAATGCGATTTTTTAATTGGCGAACCCCACAACCCACGGGCCACGCAAATTGGTAGAAAATCAACAACTGTAGCCACCCGAAAAAGCCGTATAAAGAGCAGAACGAGTCAACAATATGCAAAATTAAATACGATGACGCGAATGAAAAGCGGAAAGCAACAGCAACCAAAATATAATAATAACAAAAAGCATAACATAACCCCTAAGAATGTCAGTGGGGGGAATTGATATTATTATTCGACTAGAGAGTACCCTAAAACGGTGGAGTGGGTATATCTCTAAATAAATTATCAAGAAAAAGCTAACTTATAGTGTGATATTTAAAGTAAGGGGTCATAAATATTTACATATTTTTATTTAATACATTTTCTGTCTAAAGTATATTCCCCTAATAAACTAGGGTAGCAAACAACAAGGTTCTTTCTCACATTTATTAAGCCCAAATTGTGGGGAAATGTGCGATAAACGACAACAACAAAATATTATAATTAAAGTAAAGCCGAAACACGGCCAAAGTGGAAGAAGTAAACCAGCGAAAAAGAAAGCACTAAAGATTGCAAATAAAAAAAATAAAATCCATAAAAAAATGTATAAAAAATTGTTTTAAAAATGTAAAGAAAAGGGTCCGGAAGTGGCGGCGTAAACAAATCGAAAAATCAAAATGCGATATACGGATACGTGAAGTGGCGAGTGAAATTGGCACAGTGAATCAGAGCGATTGGAGATCGGAGATTTTCGAGATGACGATGACATTTCAACGCTAATTAAAATAATAATAACAATAATAACAGCTGCCACTTGAATCTGCAAGATTATCGGAGTCCAGCGGTCAATGCACTTGGGGAAAAATTGGGGTGTGAGCCAGGTAAGTTATGAAATCTTTGAAAAATAAGAAAAGTAGCTAAAGATTTGTTATTAAAACACAAAATATAAGGTTGCGTTTGTTTAAATCTCAAAGAATCATTTTTAGTTTTAATTGTATTAATTGTTTTATTTTATCACTTAATTACAGAGTTTTTTTTCTTTCGCAAACAATTACTTATCACTTTAAATGTGAAGAGTAAATGTATACAAGTTTTCTAAGAGGGTTCTTTCTGTATATAATTAATTTTACTATTATTTTCTTTTTAGCACATTAAGCTTGCACATTTTCTAACAGTGTAGCACTCCCTCTCCATATATCTTGGGTTCCATGCCTTTCTGTTTATCTGCCTTCGCTGTCATCGCCACGACTTGGGATGATATTGCCACTTGCCACTTGCCTCTGCTGCCTGCCTGCAAATGAGCTTTAAGCCGGAGCAACTGCACAGACTGTGTGGGTTTTTCTCCGAGTGTGTGTGTGTGTTATTGCCTTGAGCTGATCGCAAAACAAAGCCCCAAGACAGTGGTTTAAATGTGGTAAAAGTGCAATCTTATACAGCAATGATTTCAAATAGAAAATGATACCTGACTGCACCTATCATTTATTAAGGGAAAAGTGTGACCTTAGTTGTTTGTAAAGCATTATTAAGGTCACTTTTGTGTATTTGACTGTACTAGCTTTTCAATCTGTGTTTCCCAAATTAGTATGGTAAGCAATTGGGTTTAGCCAAGAGTAGTAAATCGATTCCATATACAAGTGAAATCGAAGTGCAACACTTTGCAAAATACACTCTCTCTCTCTCACACACCCACACACTCACACACACACGCACAGTCAATTGCCATTGCAATTAGCAGCTCAACTTGAGTGGCGAGTGGTGAGCTGGGGAGTTTGGTGAGTTTGGGGAGGAGGCAAAGAGGAGGTTAGCAGGGGAAATGGGTGTGTGTGTGTGTGTGTGTGTGTGGCACTGACGATGCCTTCGAGTGGAGTGCTTTTGGGGGCTGTGGCAGGTGGGGGAGGGCGGGGGCCTTTGAGGGCAAAGCTGATTTGCCTGGACGATGGCCCGTTGATTAATTCCTTTTTTATGCTAACTAAGCGGCACTCCAGACACCGCATTGCATTTAATGTCTGTGTATTTGTGTATATATATATTTATGTATATATATTTGTAAACTGCTGTGGCAGTACGTTTGGCAGGTGACAAAACCAGTTGCGATTGCTAATTGCGCTTAAACTTTGATTGTCATTGTGCCTGTGCACAGGGGGAAATAACAGAGAGAGAGGGTTTTATTAATTGAAAAAAGAGCTTTCAATTGAAACGTAAATGTACATTTATGAGTTTATATCATTGAAATTCGATCGTAATTGTTGAAAGATATTCCTTATAGAAGTTCTTGTTCTTTACTTAGGAATTTCTTGGGTTTATAACAGTGTCTTTAGTACATTTTATAAATAAAATGAATGTATCAAAGTTTTATTTCCCTTTGATAATAAAAAATTAAATACTTAATACTCTAAAGTAAAATATATAAATAGAGTTATAAATACCATAAACTAGTAACAAATCTTGTTATAAATTTATAGAAAACAAGATATAAAAACAAGATATAGAACACAAGTTATAAAAATACGTTTTTAAAGTAAAGCATATAAATAGAGTTATAAATACTATAAACTATTCAACAAATCTTGTTATAAATTTATAGAAAACAAGATATAAAATTATTATATAATGTAAACATAATACTTTTCAACTTAGAAGTTAAAATTAAGGTAACTAAATGCTTTCTTGTTGGAGTTATTGGTTTCAAAATATAATTTATATATTAATTTATATATTAATATATATATTGTTTATTTTTGGTGATTATTGCTGACTTACCCTGCGCATGCAGCAGCGGATGGTGCGGATGATGCGGATGGTGATGCTGCAGGGTCGGCGGTGGCGGCACTCCTCCTCCTCCTCCAACTCCTACTCCAGCGACTGGATGATGCGGATGCGGATGTGGATGCGGATGGTGTGGATGCGGATGTGGATGCGAATGGTGTGGATGTGGATGCTGATGCTGATGCTGATGCGAATGCGGATGATGGTGATGATGGTGGTGCACTGCAGCGGCCAGTTGGTGTGGCATAAAGGCCGCTGCAACTGCTGCATGGGCATTGAAGTAGGCCATACGCGAGGCGGCCGCCATGGTCATTTGATGGTGATCCCTGTAGTCTGTTGCTGCTGCTGCTGATGCGGCTGATGCGGCTGATGCTGCTGCTGATGCTGTCGCTGATGTTGTTATCTTTGGCGGCGTTGGCGTTTGCCGCTCTTTCGTCGATATTGCACCTCCTGCTGCTGTTGCTGCTGTTGTGGTTGTTGTTGTTAAATCTGTTGGTGTTTCTGTTGGTGTAACCGTTGGCTCTGTTGTTGTTGTTGTTGTTGTGGTAGCTGCCGCCACTGCCAGGCCAAGCAGCTCCTGAATGGCAAACGGCGAACGTTGCGGCATTTTTTTTTATTTACTGTATTATTTCTTATTTTTAATATTTAATAAGACGACATATTCCCCCGCCCCGTAATATAAACAGAAAAAAAATTAAAGCACTGAATGGCTCTTGTTCTTTGTTTTTTTTTTTGACGAGCCTTTTTTATTATTATAATTTTTTGTTTCGTGATGCTTGGCACGCGCAAAAACACACAACAAATTCGCAATAATTTCCACGTTAAACTGTTGCCTGACTTAATGTGCACCAGGAGTTTTGTCGTCGCAGCAACGAGAAAGCGACGTGATGTTGCTGCTGTTGCTGTTGCTGTTGCTGGTGGTTGGCTTTGGCTTTGGCCCAGGAAAAGCATTCGCAGTACGCAATTCGCATTCGCATTCAGTTAACAAAAACGGTGAACGGTAAAAGCGGCAAGCGGCAAAGCGGCTAAGGCGAGAGCCGCGTTTTTGCGAGGACCTCAAATCATGGCAAACGCAGTAGCAGCAGCAGCAGTAGCAGCAGTACCAGCAATCGCAGCAACATCTGCAGCAGCAGCAGCAGCACCAGCAGCAGCGCCAGCAAACGCTGACTGCGCCGCCGACGTCGACTGCTCTGCCCGGCAACGGTAAATATTCAGGGGCGGTCTCGGTCGCACAGCTATCTGCACTGCTCTGGCGACCATTGGTGCGAGCAGTTCAGCTATAGCAGGCACTTCCCCTCGGCAACATGGCGCATGTGCGACGTGAGTCGTTGCCTTGGAGTGAGCAGAGCGGCGCTACCTTTCCAGTGGCCAGCTAGTCGCACCGCTTGCACTCCCTCAGCGACTTCCAGTGCTTCCAAGGCACTTCCAGTGGCGAGCTTGGGTTTCGTTGTGTGCGTGCCACAACGTGAGAGTGTGTGCGGCACCCATTTTGTGTGAGTGAGCGAGTGAGAGAGTGTGTGGGCAGGGTTGTTCGGTGGAAGGAAGAGAGCGGGAGCGAGAGCTAGAGCGAGAGGGAGAGGGAATGGGTGAGGAAGGGAGAGAGGTCGGCAGGATCGAAGGATTCTCTTTCGTTTCAATGAAGGACGCCAATTTATGGCCAAAAAACGAGTGCCGCCGATTCGGGTTTTTCGGTTGTAAAAACTATATGCAGTTGTTGCAATTGTTTTTGTTGCCCCTTTTTGCTTTTGGTTCTGCTTCTGCTTCTGTGACACTTGTCGCCCGCCTAACAATGGCTTCCACAAACACACACACACACACACACTCACACACAACAAAAAAGCAGTCTAATTAAAATTTTCGCCAAAAACTTGTACTATTAAAATGCGTAAATTAGCATTTTGCCGAGAGTAGTGTGTGTTGTGTGAGTATGTGTTAGGTGTGTGTGTGTTTTTGGAATTTTTGAAAGCATCCTTCCCTTCCCTGGGCTGCGCAGTTGGAAAATTTATCGAACCCTTGGGATTGCTGCGGCAAGAGAGTTAGATATGTGAACTTTATATTGTCCTCATCTCAAGGAACTCGACTTCCCGTGGGGCAATTGTCCTGGAATTTGGGACTCAGCTTCGAGAGTTCTTGCCGAGGCCACAGGGACGGGTTTTCGGGGAATTCGAAGCTTAGAAATTAGTGATATGGGGGCTTTTTTAAACTCTTATAGTCGATATAAAGCTGGTTACTATTGGGATTTGTTTAAATATTATTAAGTATATTATATAAAGTTAAAATTAAGAGAAAACTGGAAATTAAGAGGCTCTTGAAATATTGTATATAGACAATATCAAGTCTAAATGTTCTGAAAATTAGAAGGAGCATTTCAAGGCCTTAAAAAGTATGTGGTATAAAATATTAGACAGAGACACAGTAAATTTAGTGTAATTATTCACAATTTATGTAATGAGTAATAACCAAAGCATATATTTCTATATTATTTCATTAGGAGAAACTTGGAAAAGAAAAAAACTGTAAAAATCCTAAACTTAAGCACACAATAGAGGGTCATTAATAATTATATCTTAATTGTGTCGGCTCAGAAAATATAAAAAATGCAAATGGAAAGCCTTCAATGGCTTTTCTCACGCCCCCACCACAGTGAACTCTCTTGAAAGCGGAAAGCCCACGCGGCAATTAAGCAATTTGAGAAGGCAGCACTCAGCTATTGAAGAATCGAACCGAACCGCATCGAAACGGATCGAATTCTTCTGGCTCTCGGATCCACGCAGTCTGCCAGCGAAGAGAGAGATGGCAACAGCGATTCAAGAAAGAGACGGAGTGCGTAGTTCAGGAATTTCGCGGGGTAATTCGATATTTTATTTCTTTCGGGGGCAACCTGCTCTCGTTGAGGAACACAAGATGATGATTCATTCAAGAGGACTGCGAATCCTTCGAGGCCTGCTTATTTTTTTTTAAAGCGAATTCGTTTATTTACAGGAATTTAGGATTATTTTTGATTGTTAATTAACTTGCAATTACAATTACCGAAGGAGGGGATTCTGCTGTCAAAATAAATATTGAATTTCCTCAACAGTTTGATTCGGTCGAAATCGGATATCGAGATATTCTATATAATTCTCTAAAAGGACTAAATTCCACCTGGCAGCCATTGGCTACAGTTCAGTCCCAGTCTCAATCCTGGTTTTTTTTCACCATTTATTTTTTGTGCTCATGTCCTGCGAGTTCCAAGAAGCTCGGACCTTTAAGCTTTTGTTTTGCAAATATTTTGACGTGCGATTCTCACACGGCCCGAACCGACTACCTGGGAACATAATACAGGTATATAAACCAGAGACAGATATAGCTATATGTGTTTATATATATATGTATATATTTGGGGATATTCAGGGGATACCGGGTGCCCCGTCTTGAGGTGCTCTCCACGCTTCTGGTAGTTGAATGATTCAATTACCGCTCGAGTGCGAAAGTTGACCAAAATCGACTGTCAATTATGTGTCGAGATTTATTTACTTAACTATTATTGTCTCGGGAGGGAGAGACAATGCTACAGCACAATTGGACAAACTTAATTATGAACAATTAAAGTTCAGTTACTTTTTGTGTGGGCTTCCCTCGCTCGATTGTTATTTTATATGATTTTTTTAATATTATTTTTGGGCAATAGCTTCAGAGATGAGTGAGTGACGGGCAAGGCTTGCTGGCCAAACGAAGATCGCACGAAAAATCAGTAATAAATAATAATAAATAAAATGGCATAAATAACAACAAACAGGCAGCCGATTCACTGTTGTGTAATTAAGTTGTTTCGCTGTCGGCCCCAAGTGCCCAAGCGGGCACTGAACAAATCTTGTTAAAAATATTATTGTCACACAATTGTTGCCGTGTGATTAGTTGAAACTTTAATTGCGACACAATGGCATAATGGCAGCGGGCGATAATGGGCTCGAAAATAACAAAAAAAATAGTAATAATAAAATAAAGAAACACAACGAGGCGAAGGCAACAAAACTTGAATACTCTATGCTTTTGAGGGGAAATTAAAATTTAGAGTCTATTATTTAGTATATTAATAAATTGGAAATACTAAATTGAGTCGCCTGGTGATGCAAATAAATAATATACCATTTTTATAAAATAGCAGAGCCGTTTTTTATATATTTTGGGTACCTAATAAATTAGTAAACCTATAAAACCCTTGTTAAAACCCAGATTATAGCTTTAAAAGCTAATTTTATTATTACTTTTCTTTCTAGTATTTAATAAACTATAAAACTAAACCTCAAAGAGTTACCAAAACACCTGAAAAATCAAAAATTCCCTATAAGTAATAAGTAATAGGTAAGTAATAAATTATTTAACCCATAAAACCCTTTTTAAAACCCAGATTATAGCTTTAAAAGCTAATTTTATTATTACTTTTCTTTCTAATATTTAATAAACTATAAAACTAAACCTCAAAGAGTTACTAAAACACCTGAAAAATCGACTTTTCCCTATAAGTAATAAGTAATAAGTAATAAGTAAGTAATAAATTAGTAAACCCATAAAACCCTTGTTAAAACCCAGATTATAGCTTTAAAAGCTAATTTTATTATTATTTTATTTCTAATATTAAATAAACTATAAAACTAAACTTCAAAGAGTTACTAAAACACTTGAAAAATCGCCTTTTCCCCATATTAAAGAGAAAAGAAATTGCATTTACCGCAAAAGTGGGAAAAGAGGGGGCATTTTGTATTAGCCGCGAATTATAATCGTCATTATCATATTACTATTACTTACTAATGTTTGTGTTATTGTTATTGTTATTGCTGTCCATTGTCCATTGTTGTTTTGTGCCGTTGATTTCGAGTTTAGTTTTCAATTATTTAATTGTTATTTTTCGGCTACGCGCATTGTCTTGCCCCGCTTGGGTAACGTGAGAAAATTAATTTCTGGCGCAGAATTTAACTTCTGCCTTTTGGGAACAAAAAATAAAAATAAAATGACAAAAAAAACTACAAACGAAAGCCCACAGATGGCGGCAGTGAGCGCAGCTCGTTTTATGGCTAATTTCGGGGAAGGCAATCAACACGAACGGGCGAGTCCTGCATCCTGCCTGTGGTTTGTGTCCCAGCTAAGGCAGGAGCAGAAATAAAGTTAATTAGGGAAAGTTTTCATTCAAATTTAATTGCCCCAAAATGGCAGGGAATACTGTAAATTAAATAGTTTATAGCCAAGTTTATATTTAATTTCAATTGTGTGAAAATAAATGTGTGCAAACAAATATTTATCAAAAACAGAAGCTAAATATTTTCTATTATTATGATTATTTATTATTAGTATTTTAGGAATTCGTTTTTATTACGTTTCAAATGTTATATAAAAGTCTAATAGACTTTACGTTTTAAGCTATTGGCTTAATTTGCATCTGGTTTTATTTATTTTTAAGGGAAATATCTGGAAAAAGGTTTATTTTATGACGAGATATTTATTTTGGATTTGTTATTTAGAGAATACTGTATTTATTTTAAAGATTTAATCTTAAAACCCATATATTTTATATTTTACGTGTATTCTATTAATTATTATTTACTTTTTTTATTGAAAACATTTTATTTA